AAGTCATGAGGAAACTAGGTGCCGGTGATTTATTATAGGTGGGAAATTATTCAACGCCGGACGGTAATAAAATGTATAAAATATATTATATAAGCGATATACGCGCGCGATTCTTATCTTCGGTTTTTTTTTTGATTATTATTTTAGTATAACAATTATTTAAAAATATTTTTACGCTCTTTTCGTACCTATTTAGCGTGTGAACGCCGTTGGTTTTCGTTTTTGTTATTATTATTATTCATTTATACCTAGTAAAAATGACGTTACACGGTAATATTTATGATTTATTTTAGATTTAATTGAGCGATTTTTGATGAAAAATAAAATCGCCAAGTTAAACTCAAAAAAGGCGTCGTCGATGACCGTATTTATATATATATATAGAATTCGGACAATTCTCGGATTCTATAATTAGTGATTAGAAAAAAAAAATCCAAACAATATAATTCCTGTAATATAACGGTTTATATAGTTAAATACCTTTCGGGAAAAAAATACATTTTAAGAAACACGAATTTCAGATTTATAGCGTTTAAATGATTTAAAGGTCCGAAAATTGTATTTTCCGTACGATAGCCTTCAATATTTATATTTTATTTCATATTATATGACAATACAAAATAAAAAAAGAAAACGCGATAGTTCAATTTATTATAAGTACAGAGTGTCCCAATACCAGTGGCCAAATACCAAGTTGTACCAAATGCAACGACTCAGAAAGTATTTTTTTTTTCTTTGCTTTAAAATGTTACATTACCATTATTTGTTGTTGCCCTTATTTTTGGGTGTGAAAAGACTGCCTATTTTTGTTTTCAGGTAATCATATTTCATGTTTCATATTATATTAATAGATAGAGCATTAGTTTAAATATATTTTAGTGTTGATAATTCAGGAAAGAAATTGTATTCAAACCCCATTTCATCAACGGATTGACGGAACTCAAAACTGTCACCAAAATATATTTAAACTAATGTATTTATAGAATATTTTATACAGGCTGTCTTAAAAATAATATGCAGGTAGTCATTTTACCTCTAAAAATAAGGGCGAATAAAAAAAAAATAATAGTAATGTAACATTTTAAAACTGCTCGTTTCTTAAATCCCCGCCCTATAAAAAAAAAATTCCCAATAAACTGAATACTTTCCGAGATATATCGCAACGGCATAATCTTTGCGGGACACCATGTTTACAATAGGGAAGAACACCGTGGCTAACAAATATAATCCGAAAATGAAAAGAGTAACGCGACGATTCGCATCAAGCGGATTATCAAAGGGCATACGATTAGAGGAGAGTTATAATTCTTGTAATAACCGACGAGAGGAGAATCGCGAATTCCGATTTCAGACGTAGCAGGAGAGAAGGAGAGTAAATTGCACATTCGGAGATAAGCTCGAAAGGGAAAGTGTCAATTGGCGACGCGCGACGGTGGCGTGAAAACTTAACAATCTAAAATACTCTAACGCGCAGTGGCGGATCCAGCAGATGGAGGGCACAGGGGCACGTGCCCTTCCTGCCAATGGACTACAGTTTTTATTTATAATAATTTAACGAATAACTTATAATAATAAAATTAACTGAAAATATAAATAATATACCTCCCCCCTCCCCTTTAAAAAAATGTCCGGGTTCGCCGCTGCTAATGCGTTCCGACCGCGTCACCTGACGGATAACATATTCGAGGTGTTTGAGCGGTTATTTTCGACCGAAAAATCGGACGATTCTGTCACGCGGCAGACGGTCGGTAATTATTGGTAAGCTGCAGTTGCACACGCCCGTCTCGCTAATTACGATTATTATTATTTTTTGTTGTCGCGCGCCGCACGGTCATTTGGTCAGCAGACGTCTCTCGGTCTCGGTCACCTATACGCGCGGGGCAGCTGAACGGTCGCGCGCGCACACGTGCTCGCCCGTGCCCGTCTATTTTGAGGCGGCGAAGACAGACGCCACCGCCGCCGCCGTCGCCACTGGCCATTGCGGACTTCCTGTACCTCGTGAGCGTGCGCAAATCCTTTCCGGCTCCGCTACACCCCTCCCCCGTATTTCGTATTGTCGCGTCGCTCGTGTCCGTCGTCCAACGACCGAGACAAGACGTTTTTCACACTCCCGATTTATAAAATACATACGTAAGTCACACAAACACACGTACATATTATCGGGAAAAAATCTCGAAAATCTCGTCCGTTACTATACACATATTGTAATGTCGTCGACTAAACCCTCGAAATATACCCTACCTAGCTACGTCGACGTTTAATAAATTGGATTTCGGTAACGGGAATCGGACCCGTTTCAGCTGATGTCCTGTAACCCAAATACTACTCAAATAGACCCATCTCCCCCTTAATATGTTTTAATACGAAAAATACTGTTTATTGAAAAATAACTTTTAGTAAAATTGCTATTTTGGTCACTAGTTTCCATATAGTAACAGACGCTTTGCTAGGCAGACAGACAGAAAGACAGCCATCGGATATTATTAATATTATTGATACCTATCTACTAAACTAACTCTATATCCGTAACCGATCAAATAAGCGCGCTTGGTAAAGTTGTTACACTTAACACTTAAATTCAGCCATTTAGTGTGAACGTTTGAGGTCATATCGGACGCGTAATTATATACAATTATTATTATTTATTCATACAGAAACCACAGTTGAAGTGGCTCTTTAAACTAAATAATGGTAATTATTATATAATTATTAAAAAAAAAAAAAATCAATTTTAAAAGTTTATTTAATATGCATTATTCACCCCAAACAAATTAATAGGAATTCTAAATGGAACGAACATTTTTTCAAACGAATTACGGTTTACATTTTTACACTCTTTATTTTATGCACATCACGATATTTTTCAGTCATTTAGTTTCGTTAAAAAACATGATTTAATGTAGACAACTAGTTAAATAGAATATTATCGACGTACATGAAATAAGCTTCCCCTCGCATGGTCAGATCGACTCCGGACGAATTCAAGCATTTAGAAGCTTTTTAGTGGATAATTGTAACCGACATAAAACAATTTTCAACCTAACCGTTTCTAAGGTAACTAAATTTTAATTTCGGTGCACCAACTTTTAGTAGATGAAGTAATACATAGCTTCATACTATATCTATTAGCTTTATTACCCGACTTTGTCCGTGTGCAGTTTACAAACTTAGTCAAGTACCTATCTGTTATTAAATATGATCTTAATCTTTAAAATATGAAATAAATCTGGTAGTTCAATGTTTCTTACATAAAAATGAAGAATTTTTTTATGTGCATACCCACCGAAATTACAGAACGAAATAACCGTTTTTAAACTCAATATGTTCTAAAAATGTAAAGGACTTTATAGATTTAAGAGACTAATAAATATTATTAAACTAAATACCAGATATTAATAATATTATAATTACGACAATAACTGTTTGTTGGCTATTACGTTTTCGCGGCTAAACCGTTGAGCCGATTTTAATGAAATTTCGAGGAAGGAAATAGTCTACCTTTTTTTTTATTAATGTTCTAATAAAACCCTTATAAGTGTTATAATATTAATAAGATTGAGTCAACTGAAAAATTTTTAAACAACCAATTTACAAGATTTTTTTCCACATGTACTTACTTATTTATGTATCGCGGTAGTCACAGGCAAAACAAATTGTTTGCGTTTTTCACAAAAAAAAAGGTAGGATCAAAAACGTTGTGCATAAAACTGTGTTGAGGTAATTTAAACAAAACTGATATGCGAGCTATATTAATTTTAAATTTTTATATAGTTATCTCTTTAATATTAAATTAAAGTCGTGACAAAAATTATACTACCTATACTTATAATAACATTGCTGTTTATTTTCGTCCCTGTCTAATATTACAATAATATTTTTGTTTGGTTTTTAAAGAAATAATTAAAACATTAAATATGAATAAACACAATATTCAGATATTTTTCATCTTTTAGAATTTAGAACTCCTCTCCGCAAAACATATGTGTATGTTACAAAAAGGAATTTTCCCAGTTCATTATTCGTCAATAAGTCCTCAATCATATATCATTCTTAATTGTTATCTCAAGAAGTACGTCGATTACGGACTCCAGTCTAAGCACAACCTGGTTTATATACGATCAAAAATCACGGTTATAGACGACGTGAGAATATCAATAACATTATACCGCAAATAAATTATGTTTATGATAATAATAAATTAACATAAGGACGCCCCTGGTTTGCAAGGTATCGTTGAATTGTTTTGATTTATTTTTAGCCTTTCTCCCTACCTAATAACCTATAACTTAATCCGGACGACTTATCCGAATTCGATTTATCTCAATAATATGGGAGAAATAACAAAAATCATTCGTTTTTATACTACTCCGATTTTGAATAACGATAATCATATTATAACATTGTAATGTAATATAATGTAATATTACGACGGTTTTGAAATTTTCCCGAATGGACGGTCAATTCGTAAAATTATTCCTACGCGGACGGGACAAGAATCAAGGCGGTATAGCTTTGTATTTTAGATTCTGAGTGGAATGTATTGGTTTCACAATTATGTCAATTGTTTTTTTCTGTGGACAACTTTTAGATTCTAAGTGGAACGAAGAAGCTTATGGTTTTACAAAGACGTGAACAACTTAACTACCAGAAAACCTGCTCAGTGTGGGGAGGTACATCGAAAAGGCCATTTTTCGATTTTCTCAGGAGTTTTCCTAGGGAAAACCGAGAAGAACGTAAGAACATTGGGAAAATCGGTACAACATTAATCAAATATTATTTAATAAAATATATATTGTGCAAATGTAATTAATTTACCATACATATGACATGCATGTTATATTGTTGACAAAGCAACGCTATCAACCGAATTCCGCTCAGAATCATTTTTCGTTAGCTATGGTTTATCATTGCGTACAGATATACATTAAAAAATATTCTCTCTATACTATCTTACCAACTTCTCACCTATAACAGTTGCTGCACCCGTCCCCACGGTCCTAGGACAAATTTTTTTACTCGGCGATATAACCCGCAGGTTTTTCTCTCTCTCTCTCCAATAATTATTATAGCCATTCGTACTTCGGATGTCGTTGCAATTTATTATTAGGGCCGACCGTCTGCCAGTTCGGAGGGAACGCGAGACACACACGTGTCGCGGTCGTCGGTTTTCAAAAAGATTGCGCGATCTTCTAGGAATTTCCGCGTGGAGGATACATGACGGTGGTGGTGCGACCGGTGGGAAACGGGAGCGCGGAAGGGATCGCCCGGTAAACGTACCGGCTGAATGATATGATTAATATCGCGCACATCGCACGGTTCCGTGAAATAGGACACGTCCACCGCCGCCGGACACCGCGGTGTGTCCACCCACCTACCGCCACCACCACCATATCCCTCTCCCACCGCCAGTGACCGCCGACAAGTCCGGCGTATACCGAGGTGCGTACTTAGGTGCCCCGGAGACACATTATAATATACTGTCCGCACACGTGTGCGTTACTAGTGTCTGTATAATACGGCGTAGTGTGTGTGTGTGTGCGTGTGTGTGTGTGCGTGTGTGTGGGAAAGAAACTAGTGTGTAACGATGTGCATGGTTTGTCGATTGACACGATGCCTTCGCGCGTTCCACAGAGGCATATTTTATAAGGACCGTGTTTTCTCCGAACAGAAATCGGTCGAAAGCAATATAAAAAGGACCTACAAGTATATTTCAGGATACGTCCACGTGAGGAGGTCAGGCAGTACGAAGCGTTTTCCCCCTCCCCTAACTCTGATATGACAATAAATTTGTTACATTTAAATAATGTTCGTTGTTTTTTTTTTTTTTTGTCGAATTGTATATATTGCATAAGGTATGAAATATTTGAATCTTGCCCTCCTTCCCACTACTAAAAAAATGCCTACGGATTTTGATGTTTCCGTCCTCGGCCGAGTTTCGAAAACCGATATAATATTTCGGCCCTCGTCCATTTGATGTTTCTCGTAAACACGTCGCATACTGTTTGTTTTCGTTGCTTTGGTGTTCGTCGCCCATTCTAACTGTTTATTTACAATTGGGGTGCGGTATGATAATATTATTAGGTTATTAGCGCTGAACCTGCGGATAAATTATGTGACCAAAACTTTACACGACCAAAATGATAAATCATTGTTGCCATTATTTGAGTAAGTTTAATTAAGTTTTTTTTAAAGTTATTTTTCATTTAAGTGAGTTTTACAAATAATGATATAACGTATAAAAAACTGAACAGACCTTACATACATTTCGATGTGAAAGTATAAAAGAAAAAGGTTAGACAAATTTCAATGCTGTTAACCGTGATTCAGTCAAAAGGTAAAGGGAATGAAAAAACGACAATCAGAATATAGAAATACATACCTTCTAGCTGCTACACCTAATTAACCGTTTTATTGTTATAACTTGCAACTGTTTGAGATATTTTTTATGCGAAAATGATTTAAAACGAATTTAAAATCAATTTTGCTGGATTATTCACATAGCAGGAACATGAAGTCAGAAACGTAATACGAGTATACTGAAATTAACTCGAATTTAACTATACAAGGACCGATATCATTATTCATGTTTAATTTTAGTTTCGGACTACAAAGATTAAAATGTGACTACGACTCTTCATCGGTTTTTGTTTTTACTTTTCCTTATGCAATGGAATAGGTATATAAACTTGCAAAAAATGTTGTAACCATGTTATAACGACAGTATTTTTAACAACACGAATTTAATATTATATCTGCAGACCGTTGAAAATAGAATTATCGATTTCAAAACCACCGATGCGATGATTTGGAGGCTTAGTGCGTGTGTAATACGATATACACACTCACATCACATATATTTAATCGGTTTTGAAAAACGCTTTAAAAATAAATTGAATGTCGTTTGAGAGTAATAAAACAAAAAAATAAAATATGAATCTACTTTATTACTATATTTCTTGTTGTTACATTTTTCTTGTATTCTATTTAGTAGAAGTCTTCTGTTTTGACGTTTGTGTTGCGTGTGTGTGTGTATGTGTTTTCATCATTATTATAACATAGTCTCTCACTAAAAACCCTACTTTTATTACTGTGTAGTAATAGTAATAGCCTCCGAAAAAATATTATTTGTCGTCATTAATATGTGTAAAAATAAGGGGGATATGATTTTAACCCGAAAATGTGTGATTACTTATAAATACCTAATAATTACCCAAAAATTACGTAATTACGATATTATAATCAATGAAAAAACAGACATGAAAATAGTTTGTTGATTTTTTTTTCTAAAATTAATATTTTAAATTCTGAGCAACGCTGTAAGAAATTTTTCACCAAAAATCTCGCTCCAGTCAAAAACTTAGCAAATAGTTTCTATAGGTGGCAAATTTTGTTTAGTTGATAAACATTGAGTAGATAATTTTTTTTTTTTTTATTTCCCTTGTGTTTTCGTAATAAATAGGAACAACTGACAAATGTTTGTTGATTTCTGTAAAACTTGGGAAAATGGGAAAAATACAATTAATAATACTCTGGTCAGAATCGTTTTTTGATAGAAATCATTTATCGTTGAGTATAGATACAAACTAAATTACTCTATAATATCCATTTCAACTTCCATCCTAAAATAGTGGCTCACCCATCAAGAAACAGTGCCAACCTTTTTTTTTAAAAAAAAAATGAACGATTAGTTGTTACTGTCTATAGTGTCCTGAAATAATTTCTTATTGATTTTTTTAAATTCCATCACTAATTTGTTATGCACATTATTATTATTATATTTTTTACATATATCAAATTAACAACGGAAAACCGTTTTAAATAAATATTATGGGAGACGTGAAACTCGTAAATAATAAATTATACATCGATATGTTATTTTAATTTTATAACAGCATATTTTCTATATATAATAATTTTTCGTTGACTTAGAAGTAATAATATTATATTTATGAAACTCTGTAGTGGCAATAGTACTTTAACTGTAATTATGAGCGATTCTTACAATAATTTCGAACGACAATAAAATTGTGCGCTGTGCGCGTTTTAAAAATAATACACACGCGTGAGTTTTGTATGCAATTTGTGTAATCTATACTTAAGGCGTTTTTTTTTATTTTTCGACTGGATCATCTAGGAGTGTCAAAAAATAAATATTTAACTACCTTTCAATAAATCGGCTGATATGATTTAATACAGCGTTTCTCAACCTTTGGGTTGCGAATAATGTTGATTGGATCACCCTGACATTAAAACAGTTAAAAAAATGATAATTTAAAAAATGTACCAAGAAAATGATGAAAGACCATCAAAATTATTAAATGGTGTAATGAGTCTACAATGATATTTTTACGCGAAAATTGGCTAAACAATTTCCGTCCCGAATGAGATTGAAAATACTATGAATTTCTATAAATTCTACGTGGGACGCGCAATCGACGCCATTGCCTATAGATAAAAGAAAACCTCGAATTTCGCATTTGAAGTTTCAGGCTATCATGTACTTACAGAGTGTGGGGGAGAAATTAATGATTATTGGTTTATGAGGATTGCGAATTAGGAAAAAATCTCCTCGATTTGAGACGACGGGAAAAATAATTTAAAACAATATCCTAACGGCGAAAACACTAAGTAAATTTTTCGGGAGAGAGTGGGCCCGCGAGGGAGGAGAAAGGAACAAAGTTGATTTTCTAGCGAGACAGCCCCCTCCACTCGAAATTTGCTTGCGGAAATATTATTATAATAATATATTGGTGCATTCAGCATATAACGTTAATGCAGGTGTCTTACCTTTAGCGAGACGCCTGGCCACCGACTTCGACCTCATTTATACAGAGCGCTTAATATATCGTGATTCGGAGTGTGTCGCTGCGATCGCGTGGCTTCAACTGCCGCGGTGGCCACACGGTGCACGTTTCCGCGCACAGGGCTTTGGACGCGAAAAAACGGTCCCCGCGGCGCACCTGTACGCCACCGCCGATTATCACTTTTCGAAAAACGCATTACGTCGGATCGCCTAGACAACCGGCGGCGGCGGCGGCGGCGGCGACGGCGACGGCGACGACGACGGTGGCACACACGTGATCGTGTGCACCCCCCGGACTCAACGACCAGAGTTTTTTTGTAAACGTATAAATATGTTGTTTATTTTTTTTTTTTTTTTTGTTTTTTTACACCTCTATATGCAACGGCGTATTGTCTTCGAAGCGAAATTCAATTTATACACGATTGGCATTGTTCGATTTCGCGAGCGATATTATAACATTGAGCAACCACTGCAGGACAATATTATGATATCGAAATATGCTGTCGAAATAACGTTATACGTAGTACGGATATCGTCATTCTAAGAGAACGACGATTTCGATAGGGCGGTAAATATTATCGGCTTGTAAGTACAGTTGTTTTTTTAATAGCTCTATCTATTATATATTTTTTTTTTCTTAATACTGTAAGCCGCATGCTTAAACACTAATTTTAACCAAAACACAATTTTGTTGTCGGCTCTTAGTATTAAGTCGGGTACCTATTTAGCAAAATTCTAAAGCGAAATCCTCCATAAACTTTAACACTCTATACACCGTAAATTATATGAAATTCCATGCGATGATAAGATTTCAAAAGCTCTTTTCAAAAATAAAAAAACAGAACAAAAAAAAAAAATCCTGTTTCGAACGAAATATATATTATAACAACGCAGATATCTGATATTTTGAACTTATTACACTAGGAGTCCGACAACAATTCTATGATGCCGAATTTTCAAATTTAAACTTCTATAGACAATTATATTTTTGGACTATTTTCGATTTCCGAATTCTCTTTCCTGGTTATACATAAATAAAAAATTTAATGAAAGTGTGCTTTTTTTTCTTTAATATTACCCGTAAACTTATATGAGGTTATACCACCAAATCACTAACAACCAACACATCTTCTTCTTCTCCTTCGCTTTCATTCCAGTAAATTGAGGTCAACCACCCTTGTCCTATCAAACTTCTACTTGATCCGAACTCTCGTCTCGCATACACTTGTCCTTGATGAGTGTTCTCATAATATCATTCTCAATCGCATCCATCATCATCTCTTTTTGGTCATTACTCTTCTTCTCTTTCTTCTACTATTCTTACTGCTTCTGATCCCGTTCTCCTCATGACATGCCCCAACCATCTCAGTCTATTTTTTGTTATTTTTCTATTATCGGAGCCACTACGCCTATGCTACCTCTTATGTACTCATTCCTTATTCTGTTTTCTCTTATCACTCCATTCATCCACATATTATGTATTTTTTCTTTTATACATTCATTCATTCTGTAATCAATTTTTCTGTCTATCGCCCAAGACTCCAAATCATACAACATAATCGGTCCCACTACACTCTTATAGAACTTTGTTAAGTCTAATTGAGATTCTCTTATTACATAAAACATTTAAAAATTCTCTCCACCTTATCCAATTACACTTAGTTCTATGTTATTCATTCTCTTCTATTTTTTTCCAGCGCACATCCGAGATGGGAAAATTCACCCAAGCCTCGTTTAAGACTCCTCAAACTATTTTACAAAAAAAATTTACCATTGGAAGTCGACCTGATACAACCCCAGGTCTAGGTCTTATAATGGCTAGAGGTACCATGGAAGTATTCTTATCCCACCCACAGGAATAGTCAACCAACAAATCTATATCTTAATATTTATATACGGACAAATTTAAATGGTTACTATACTATTATAATAATATACTCCCATACCCATTTTTGAAAATAAAACAATGTCTTGAATAAAACTAAAATTACTAATCACAACTATCGAAAAACCGCAACCGTAAAATGACACGTCAAAATCTCATTTAATTTTTTCGTATATTTGTCCGTATTTTTTCACGTACAGATCACATATACCTACGGATTTATATATCCGAAATAACGAATTTTGTATAATTTCTGTGTTTTATTTTATTGTAAATTTAATATTTCGGCAAAAACGCCATTATCGTAATAAGTCACACAAATATTTCACGGTAAGAAAGACAGAAAATTTGTAGCGATCGATATTTTTCGTTCAGGTAAATTTATACCCTTGTCAACCGCACGTGGATTTTCGTAAATGTATTATATGAAAAAGCAGAGGTTTTTTTTTTATTACAACCGAAATTGTTTTTGCTCGCTATTATTTTTGTCTAACATAATAATAATATATTGTCTATATAACTACGGTCTTGAAAATAATTACGGTCATATACAATATTTTTTCTAGCAATGTAAAGACTCATGTTTATATTTTTAGCTTAAAGAAAATATTTGATGATTGTGGTAAAATATTTGAATGATTTAAATACATATTTTTTTTACTTATCATTGTAATAACTAACTAAATATATTGTTTATAGGCACCACAAACGTATAGTTCACCACTTGCAGCACTTAAAATTATCAACATCTATAATACTGCTAAAATAAGTAAAAAATAAAAGAGAAATCCCTCCCATACCCAATTCACAACTATAGTATAAAGCAAAGAAAAATCTGGATTTTCGTTTATAGCTAATGCTTTGTCAAAAAATATGGAATATTCAGTAAATAAACTAGTAAAAAAAGTATATACCTATAATTATTCTTTTTTTTGGAAAAAACCATTGAAATAACAAAAAAAATAAGCACAAATATCGATTGCAACCTGCTACATTATATGTAAACCCCCAAAAAATTGCGAATGTAAAAATAAATTATGTACAATTTTATTACAATAATTATAAATCAAAAGTAATTTGTAAATTAAGTGAAAAAAATTAATTAAAAAATGTGAATATGTTTAGTGAATTCAAATAAAATAATTAAAGTCCAGCAGTCTACAGTTTCTGCGTTTCGGTTGTTATAATATATCGAATAATTGAAATAACGTAATTCAAATGTTTAGAATATATTACGAATCTTGAAACGAAATGCAAATTGTGTTTACGCCGAATTACAGAGTTCAGCAACATACAAGCTACGAAAAAATAAAAAAAACGGTTAAATTCACATTAGTGTGTCACTGTTGTAGGTAGGGAGTTGAGAATTATACATAAAGTAATTTAATTCATAATATAAAAGCAAACGGTATATTTTTGTAACGGAAAACGATTCTGAGCAAAGTTTAATTAATTGTGGCTTAATAAACTTAAATTGAACATACTGTGTTAATTTGTAACTAATTTTCCATATTTTCTCGTCTTTATTTTGTAAATTTTTAAATAAAGCCGAAAAAATTGTATCCACGTTGCCCGAAAAATGATGAACTGAGGTACCTACGCAAAATGCAGTGATTAAAATGTTAAACTATTATAAAAAAAAAAATAGTGAATTTATTTTCAATATTTGTATAAAGCTGTAATAACGACTTTTAGAAATTCGTTGACTTGTTGATATAAAATATCAATATCCCCTCAAATCTTAATATTATTATTTCAAAGTAATTATCACTTAATAGCTACCACATTGTTATTTCTTGATTATTAATAAGTTAAAACCGTGCTATTAATTATTAATTATAGTGCAGCTATAATTATTAACTATATAGACTAGTAGGTAAACTGTAAAGACTAGTATGCAATGTTTTTTAATACAAATGAGTAAGTTTTAAACTGTTAAAAGTTTTTTTTTCTAACTAAAATTCTTGGTAAGAATCATGTTATTTATATATTGTACGTGCATTAAATATTCACCCATCAACACAACACTACGTCCATTCGCTAATAAAAATAAGATTCTTGAAATCAGACACTCAACAATCAAAACTAAAATTGTAATCACATAATTGTAAGTAATAGCAAATACTAGATAATTTGATTATAGATTATGTTTTACTAATCTGGTAATGATATGAAATAGGAGAAAATCTCGATGAAGAGAATATAATATGCAGGGATTATACCCGTACAAATAAATTGATCCATGTCACAAGGCGGGTTCAACATATTATACGGGTATAACATCCATTTTGAACTGATATCGCAAAGGAATTTCTTTATTTTATACCGGTATTCTTTTTGAGGAGACCTTTTATATCAAACGAATTTGTTGTTTATGATGAATTTTTTATATCAAATTTCGAGTTTTATGAGAAACAAAGCAAATTTTACACTATGAAAACAAAAAAAAAAACCAACTCTAAAATTTCAAATGATTGTTAATAACACAAAAATAGTCAACAGAATTTAAACATTTTTTCACGCCTAAAAATACTATAGCATAATTATTCGATAAAAATTTCAGGAGTCTGCGGTTAGTTTTAGCTGAATTACAAAAAAAAACCGCATTATTACGTAAATTGAACCGTTTATCATTTATCGGATTTAAAAATATTTACTTGGAAAATCAAAAAACGACCGCCCCAATGCACCGACAAAATTCATTACCCGAAACCATCCACGAAGTTGATGATGAAGGAGTAAGATTTCAGTAACAACGTTATTAATTGACAAAAAAAAAAATGAAAAGAAAGTACACCATATCGTAGGTAGTAAAACCAATACGTTCAGAGTGTCAAACACAAAGATTTTCTCTGATAGTATCGCTACACAGGGTCGTAAAACGTTTTTAGAGACCCGTTTTCACGTGTCCCACACGAATTATCGCAAAGATGAATTATTATATTATATATATTATTTCGACCCCGTCTCTTTCCGAAGAACTTTCCGAGCAAACGGGCAAACGATAAACCATCGTTTAGAGGACTGTAATATATATATATATATATAATATTATATTATATATATATATATATATATATATATATATATATGTTATTATCGGGACAGTGGCTAAAGTAGTGGAGTGGGCGAGGTGGCGGAGTGTGGCGGAGTTACAGTATTGTAGGTAATGTTACAGCCGGGCAGTATAAACTGTTCGGGACAATTTTTCCGAAGCATTAAAAACCAACCTCGCCCGCGTAAACACTCCCGTATATTATCGTTTCGGGTATACGTTAAAAAACAATAACGCGTGGTCGTAAAATATAAAATCCTATTCTTTGCTGTTTTCTTGCGATGTCATAAAATAACACACACACACACACACACACACATATATATATGTGTATACCATATATATACCTATATAGTAATATACGGTGCCACCATATAGATATCCGCGCAGTGTTATTATAGTTCTCACGATACGCGCACACGAATAGTTATAGACTATATATTTCTGCGATTATTATGTCACAATCGCAATATTTAAGGGGTTACAATACGAGGGCGGAGCATAGCCACCCAATATAACGGCCGTCTTAAAAATATGTTCTACGGTTATTGAAAAAAATTCAAAACTACTCGTTTAATATAAATACATTATACGTTCGTCTGTACTTAGTTCGATTTCCAAAAGTCTTAACAACGTTATATGGAATGAAAAATCAATATTAATATTTTTTAAATTTAATTTTGGCCACAGCAGAAATACTGGTCATAGGTGGTGATGCCACCCTATATATAGTCAATATTTAAACGAAATTCAATAGAAAATTTAATTTGTTGTATTGATTTTTGCGCGGTATTGTATTTATCCGTTATTGTAGCCATGGAGTCAGGGCCCGAGAAAAATAATCGAAAAACTAACTTAAGATTTTAGATACATCGTTATTATTAACAATTAGTGTCTTTTCCATCCATACCTTGGACAAGATTAAAATTGATTCCGACTCGTTTATATTTCGTTTTTGTGGTCTTGTACACCATGGCGCAGGCAAACGTAAAATTAGAAACGTTCGGAAGTACCGATCCTCAACCGACGTGGTTAAACCAATTGCAAGTGACCACTTCGATGGGTAAACAGTACGAGCAAAAAGGCGAAATGGAAAAGGCCGCGAAATGTTACGAAACCGTGTTGTATTACGATCCCAAGAACGTCGGTACGCGCATCCGACTCAGTAAATGTTATCGGAAACTGTTACAGTTGGAAAATGCGTTAAAACACCAACGTTACGCGATGCAAATCGATCCAAAGGCATTTCGAACTATCGAAAACCAAGCCGAGTTGGACTTTGAACTGAACGAATACGAGACCAGTCTAATCACGTACAATAATTATTCGAAAAAATATAAAACGTCATACGACTGTAATCAGGGACTGCTGAAAGTGAGTAAACCAAGGGTGGCAAAATCGAATGTCTTATTTTGAAATATAATACACTCATATGTGGTTTCGTTTCGAAAGTATTAAAATATTTAAAGAAACGTCACAAAAACATGTATATAATTTAAAAAGAATCACGGACATTTCAAATAGCTTTATAGAAATAACTCAAAAACATCCAAAATTATACCGCGTCTAGAAAATAATAATATACATATTAAATAAATAGTCTGTGCGCGTTTCTACGGAATGTATTTACTGAATAATAGAACAATAAAAACTAAGTTAATTTTGATAAATACCAGCGTTACGAAAATATTCCCGCAATTTCACCTCATCGTTATTAAGGAAAACACGAATTAAATCAAATAATGCACAACTCCTCAATTTACCAAAATTTACAAGATTCATTAGGTTTTACTCTAGATATTATTATAAGTTCGCTGTAATAAATAGACTTAATGTCGTTTTATAGGTCAATCAAGCCATAGAGCACACATTGTCCGTTAGCGGAATAATGGACTGTTTGGGCGGTACGATTTTAAAAATGTTGGATGACCCACACATTCTAAATGAACCAAATCAATGTAAAACTTGCGACAGGTCGATCGTATGGAATAAATTGCACAGAGCTAGCCATAAAAGAATGCAGGAAGCGTATTATTTACGAAACATAACGGGAAACTTGGAATTTTACAGAAAACTTTCGAAAGAGTTACCGAAATCGAATGTAAATGATAAATTAATTGTTCGACATATAAGAGAAATCATTCAAACATTTGAAACGGCCAAGGTAAAACAAAATGTGTACTAAATATACAATAAATAATATTATTTTAAAACTTGACTTTTAGCTAAAGAGAGGATTTTAAATTTAGAAATATTTGTACCATGTTGAATAACTTATACTTGGGCTAAAACAAATAAATTTTTAATTTAATATATTATATTTTTATAAGTAGTTTATAATTCAATCTGCCCTGAAAATAATGTATCTGATTAAATGTAATGTATAATGTTACACTGCCATCCCTTCTTTTTAGATTTTGAACTAAAAGATAAAGAAATAAAAAAGAAAAAAGAAAGGTAAGATTATGGGGACGGGTGCAGCCACCGATATAGGTGGAAAGTTGGAAAGATAAAATATAGACAGGAATTTAATGTATATCTATAATCAACGATGAACCATTGCTAACAAAAATCGATTCTAATATATAAGATATAGGCTTTATATCTTTAAGAAAACTTGTTTGATGTTGTACCAATTTTACCAGTTTCCTACGATTTTCTCGATTTTCCCATGTTTTATCCCGGATTTTCACATTTTCCGAGAAAACACTCGGGAAAATCGGATTTTAATAATATAAAATTAAAGTACCTCCTCACGCAAATTCCCTTTCAGAAAAGGTGCTACACGTAGAAATCCGAGCAAGTCTTCTAGTAGAAAAGTTGCGCACAGATAAAAAAAAAAAATAAACATTTTTGTAAAACTATAAGCTTCTTAGCTCCACTCAGAATCTAAAACTTTATGGTCATTTAAATAATATAGATAATGAAAAAAATGGTCAAAAAAGAAGTACTTGTCCCCCTCATCTCCTTTAAATCATATCGATAAGATAGCTATTGAAATAAACAAAATATAGGTACTGTGTTTAATTTCTATGACGTATACTTGCCAACAATTGCGTGTTTTCATTACGAAAATATTTTATGACGATATATTATTGTTTATATGTTTTATTTATTGCGCAGAATGATTTGTACCGGCAGAAACCATTTTACTTCGTCTCGTGTCAACGGCCCGCCGCAGTCAACCGTCGGCTCGACGACCGTAAAAAAGTTAAAGACAATATGATCAAATTACAAACGGCCAAATACGTCGAAACGATAGTTAAACACTGTCTGGCCGGCGAATTGGAATCGGCTCGACAACAGGCTGAACTGGCTCTGAAATACATGGATCACCATTGGTACAGACCGTTAAACGTGGTGAACGCTTTATACGAAGTGTTCGGCTTGGCGATTTACCTGATTAACCGGGACGTGCCGGAATGGTCGGACGAGTTGAACAAGAATAGAATAATGTTCTTATTTGGTTCAAGCAATGCTGCAGATAGGAACGGCGCTTACGAAAAAGTCTACCGAGAGTCATATTTCGGACCCCAGGAAAATTCTAATAGGAGGTATATTTAAAAAAATTAATGTTATGACTGTTTAATTAATGTTATATATCTGTTATTACTGACGGGTGTACTAATTTCTTAAGTGGAAAGTTGGGAAGAAAGTATACATAGAGTTATTTAATTTATATCTGTATAGGTAAAAATAAATCAATGTTGACGAAATTAGCGAATTTCAGTTACACATATTCCGGAATATTGTAATTTTTATGATTTTTGAAAAAATTTGAACTTAAGACTTGTAAAAAAAACTACTTTATAATGTTTAACCATTTTGTTTTTCACTACAAAGTACAACTTATGTTAAAACTTGTGTACAATATTCAGGCATTTCAAAACAATTCCATTCATATAAAATCATATAAAAACTAAAATAACTCGAAAATGTTAACCACCTAAAAAGTATAAATAGTTCAAAAAAACCAGAATTATTTAAAAATTTTCCTTCGTCTGACAAAGACTAATTTAAGTTAGTGTTATGTGAACATTTTAGATCTCTATGATTAAAATGACCAAATTGCACCAAAAAACCAAATCGAAAATAACGAAATTACAGAGCATTCCTACGTTTTTTATAATTATTAAAAAACTACAAGGGAAATAATAAAATGACCTCTAACTAGGTACAATATTTGTTTTTAAAAAAGATGCTACACATGAAAATCAAAGCTATATTTTTGGTAGAAAATTTGACCAAACGAAACACACGTTATAACAAAATCAATACCTTCCTGATTCCTATTTGGGCTATCTGCATTCAGAATTAAAAACAATCGGTACGAATCATAAAGTAATAATATAAAGAGTATGAAAAAATGAACTAATGCATACTTGCTGGGTTACGAAAGTGAAGAAAAAATAACTAAATACAGTGTGACCACTAAGAAGAAAAATATGCCCTACTGCATATATTGTTACTCTGTCTTTCTGATAACACAGATATATTATAATTCAATATAATAACTGTTAACATAATATTCGTTATCATAGTAATAATTGCATCACTAATGCAAAGTGATTTATAGAAACTCGGTATATATTGCACGGTCATGTTTTTTACTTTAACTAGGAACTCGTAGTGAAGTTAGTAATTTTGCTAGCTTCACAATAAGGTTTTTTTTAGACAACCCCTGGTATGAATACTATTTAGTAATAGTTATTATCATTGTACGTTTTAGGAGCACCCTGAAGAAACTCAACAAACAATTAAAGGAAACCGAATTCGGCACCTACAGTCTGTACCTTCAATACGAGCGGATCAAATGTCATTTAAAACTCGGTGAAATCAAAGAGATGAGACGGCTTTCGAAACAAATGTTTTCGGACGCTTTTACTTTGGGCAGTATCGCGTGGCAAGTGAACGCCCTGATGACGATTGTAATAGCCGAATCCAGATTGAGTAATACGGTGAAGTGTATGGAAACTTTAGAAATCATTATATCGCTGAGCAAAACTCTGGGAAACGAAGATGTCACCGCGTTTTTTAGAAAAGTAACAATCAATTATAACCTATACGTTTATACAATGGCGATAAAACGGTTTAGTATTAAACCTTTTTTTAAATTTGTTAATATAGTTTAGCTAAATATCTATTACACCACCGTTTATGTATTATATTCAAAGTCCATAGATATGAAAACGATTCAATGAACATTCAGTAAACCGATTTAATATATAACTTTGTTATCTCGATCAAATTTAATCAAATATACTTTACGATTTAATTTTAAAGTGATGAAATATGTAAAAAAAAAAAAACCAGATGCAACTTTTTAAAATTACGTGTAATGATATTTGGCTACGCAACGCAAAAACAAAAACTGATAAAGCGAAAAGGTTTCAAAAACTCATTTAGGTATACATAGTCATTTTAAAAACCGTTTTAAACGCTGAAAACGGTTTTTAATTTATTAAACTACCTATTGAAAACGTTTTAGTTTTAAAATCTGTTTTATATGAAAAATAAATGTTAATATCAAAACGAATTAATTTCAAACAATTTTAACCCCATTATATAAACGTACAAAATAAATAAATTTCTGTGTATAGTAATTATTGTAAATTATTATAAGAGTTTAACGACATTTTATTATAATATAGTAGATATGATTTTAGATATTATTTAAAATAATATCAATAAGGCAATGTACAAGATCATCAACACAACGTGGGACACGTTGTTTTTTAGAATATTTAAGAAACAAGTGACTCTAAAATGTTACATAACTGGTTTTCTTTTTACATTTTTTTTTTTTCGCAAACAATGTTTGAACAATTTAAACTTAATAATGGAAAATCTCGTCAATGGGTTTACAAAAATTGAAAATATCAACACAAAAATTAGACTAAACTAAACTCAATCTATTTATGGAATTTTGAATACAGATTGTTGTTTGAAAACCAAAAGTAGTTAATGGCATAGTTATCCCCAAATTTGAGGTAAAATAAAATGACGGTAATGTAAAGTTTAAGAGATGCTTATTGTTTCTTTGATTTTCTATAAAACAAATGATGAAAAAAGTTAATACTTTCCAAGATAATGAATGTCTTATGTTAGGTTAATCAACCCGTATGTATATGCCACTTGTACCAGAAATTTTGGATATTTTAACCCTAATGGCTTATATTTTATAAGTGTCCTTTAGTACACGTTTTAAAAAGCAGGTTTTTATAGAATAAAAACTCAAAAACCGATATTGGATACTTAATGTTTTATAGTTGTATTTCGTTAGAAAAAGCGCCCCTCGAGAATAAGGGTATAATTTTTGTAGTCGGAATATAATATAGTGCGATACTATATAGAGCACAAACACGCAATTGACAGGGGTTTAAATTAAACATAATATATTAGTATCATATAACTCTAAGTATATGTAATTTGTGGATAACGAACATTTTCGTTTGTGTTATAATTGGATTCATGTCCACGTGTAATAAATAAATATCAAAACACCAACAACAACAAAAAATAATAGATATAAGTTTTTTCACTGGTCATTAATCTGCAGATTTACGATAGAAAAATATTAAAAAATAAACTGCTATATAGGTATTTTTTCAGTTTTGAACTCTATTTCTGCAATTGTTCAAATACTTCTCGAAAACTATAATTCGAATTCAGCAACGTGCGCAGAGACGGAGATCAAAGGTTATACTTTCTCAGCCCCCCCATCCCATTGACTTACAATACAATAAATATCAGTATTTATTTCTAGTAATTTTGTTTTGAAATTATAATTTCAGCTATGTTCTAAGAAAACAACAACTTTATTTATTGAATAGAAATGTTCTCTTCTTGGATTTGGTTATCAAATTCTCGCCATCGGGTTATGTATAACAAAAGAAGATTCTACGATTTATTCATAAATCATGATTATTGTTGACTACATCCCATCCCATTAAAAATTTTCAAGCACGCTACTTATTTTGATACACAAATAAATTAGCTGAACAATATTGTTCTTTGCGTGAGAGGAAATGCTGTGTTCGTGTTTTGAAAAACATAAGATAATATTATATTAACGCAGGATAGAGATATGCATTGTATAACAAAATCTAAAAATTGTAAAATAATATATACATTGCGTAAACGGAAACACATCCTTAAAAGCAGAATTTGAATGAAAAAAATCGGATTTTTATTATTTAGCGTCATAAAAAACGAGATTCCCGTGTCCGTATAAATGAGTTTTAGACGAATGTTCAAAATAGATAGTATTATTGAAAAAAAAAAAAAAATAAAACCAATTTAATACTAAACTCACGGAATTTATCGTATTATTCGGTTTCACTTTCCGAAATTAACACACCAATCAAAACTAATATTATCGTTTTCCACCTCGATACAACTGTACTGTTGTACACACTGTTATACATGTATATGATCTAAGTATACACTGGTGTAAACTGCCTACTATCGCCCGCCATTACCAACGTCGTGGATAACGCAAATTCCATAATAATAATATTATGGAATTATATAACTGCAGTGCAATATTATCTAAGCGAATGTCACAAAATGACACCGTCGATGATTTTGGCAATTTTGGTGTATATTGTATTTTATAAATATTCCGTATGCGATCTGTACTAAATTTTGATAACTCGTGGAATGTGATATCACTGACCACGTGAATTGTACACGAGTGTAGTCATATACGGAAAACGCTATAATTATATTATTACAAAACCGGTAAACACTCGGGGGGTTAGGTTTCATTCGGTTAAGAAAGTATACGATCGATCTTCCTGCGATATACTTTTAGGTTATGAACACTATTACCACTATAACTGTACAATTTATAGCATTGTTTGGTGTGTACATATAACATCCCACGTCGCACACGTCGATCATTATTATTTTTGTACCTACCTACCCGATTTTCCATAGACTGTAACAATATTATCGCCCCATACAGAGTACCTATACACTATTTTCGGTGCCAGTACTCGTACTTGTAAACGATACGATTATTAATGGAACGAGCAGCGAGTTATTTCGAAAACTACTTCACGGAAATTCAATGCAATAATACGCGCAAATGATTGTTTTGTACACACGTTGATGTATTTGCGAAAATAGAGTAAAATAATGTACATAATATTATATAATTATGATATGATGTTTTACGATAAATTTCGCGTATACTCGGGTATTTCACGTTTTGAAAATTTAATTTACCTACGTTTTTCGTTCGGTTTTAAACCCATGCACAATTTTCATGCACAAAACAGCGTTTTCCCGGTTTTCCGCAAAACATTTGGAGATTATAAATTACGTGAATATTGTTTATTACAAATCTATAAAACGACGAATTGCGGTTAGTATACGGATTTTGGAGCGCTTAATTTCGTTTTGGAAAAAGTATTGGAAATAAAATATAACAAATAATGTACAAAACCCAAAAATCTAAATAAAATTGTGTGCCCACATGTTATTTTATATTTTTTTAAGTTGTACACACGGATAACGTATTACATTATTATTTTATAGCTGATAAAGGTGATTTTGGACGAGTAAGAAAAAAACAATTGCCTCCAAAATATCAGTGAATTTTGTATAACCCGTATTATAACATTATAACTAATATTTGAATATAATATCGTAAAATATAGTAAATGGTTATCATTGGTCAGATACCTAATAAAGTCAAGCCTTTTTTGACGATCGACACGATGGTAATAATGTCGTATAATTCCTGTTTAATATTATACATTTTTAACAAATAATTACTACATTTTAGATATTTTTTCGAAAAAAAAAAAACATTTGAATACTGTGTTATTTTTCTATAGATATTTAAATATTATATACAGTTTAAATCCACGTTACAAAATCGACTTAACAGATTTTTTTTTTGTTCTATATACCTATATAGACTTGGAAATTGTTCGCCGATAACAAAATACGGGGGCGTATGATGTCGCCCGAAGAAAAGCGAATATCGGACATAATCGATATCATGCCGGACACCGAGAGCGCTCTGCTCACGCGGAATTTGTTGTTCCGGATTAACAGATTATCCGTAGAATGTCGAATGCCTTTTCTTCTGGGTGAGACCCCGGAAATCGACTGTGCGACGATCGCCCGGCACAACGTCCGGTGCGAACCATTGACGATATCTAAAAATTTAGCGAAACGACTGGAGAATTGAATTGTATTGGGATGGTCAATGTCCAGTAAACGAATCATTTTTAAATGCGAATTATACGTATACTGCTATCTAATTTAAATAATATCGTAGACGTTTCGTTTCGTGTTACACAAATTACTTTGGAGGAGTAGTACATTAAAATCGTGAGCAATGTCCCGAAGATGAAAACAACGTGAGAGGGGGTGAAAAATAATTAATAATATTTTGATTATTTTTCACTTAGTTTTCATTAAAAATGTATGTACATTTTCACTATTTTTGTTATTGAATGTAATCTAAAAACTGACACAACTAACTTAAGGGACTCTTCCCCCCCCCCTCGTTATGAAATGTCTATTTAAATATTAACGAATTACGCATATTATTATTTTTTTTTTAAATTCAGATTATTGAATAACTTTAAAATGTGCAGCAGACAATAATATTTTGACATGTTTTTAAACGTTAGGCGTTTTATTAGTCGTTCAATTCGAAACGGGGCCCGTCTTTGCGGAACAATTGATTCTCCAATGATACAGCACGTGATCATTACCGGTTTTGTGTAACAATATTTATTTTTTTTTATATATATATATATATATATTCTTATTCTTATTCTTTGGCCACGCGTAATAAAAATGTCTAATCCGTTTGCATCGCTAAATCTCCGGGTGGTTTGCAAACACGTACCTATTCGGTGCGTATATACTATACAGTGTGTTTCGTATATCTCCGTACAAAGAACGTCACGAGACTAATGTGTTAAAGTATTGTCGATAAAAAAAAAAAGAACCCGACGTTCTACTTCATACCATTGGTACGCCATTGCTACGATGTGATTAGCTATAGGCAATTATACGAGCAACCAAATGACTGTTCGGATAAGAGCTCGATCAGATTTGAACAATCAATTGTTATGATGATGTATGTTAAACATAAATTTGCAAAATCGTATAGTAAAGTAATGATAAATTATTATAAATCGTTCTATTGTATATGGTTTATTTATCTTTTCAATAAGGAACAAAAACCATTGGGAATCTAGAAACATTTTTCATTCAATGTAATGCCACTGAATGGAAAAATCTGCATGAAAGTTTTATAGCGTTTGTCGGCTAATCGGCTAATGGTTTTTCGCAACAACAAAAAAAAATTAATTATTTTTCAAAAATATTTTGTGTAAATTATATTCACTTCGATCATAAAAAAAAATCAGATAAGGTAACTTGCAATTATATAGATGTACAAGGAGATCAAGGAGGATTGAAATAATTCTTTAGAACCGAGACCATGTCAACAAAATATTGTGTACCTCGAGTTCAGAAATTAAGACACTGTCGTAAGTGAAAAGTTGAAAAGGTATAAGATAAAGGTGGTTAACTTAAATACTGAAAGCAACAATAAATCATTGCAGTCAAAATTATTGACTGCATTGATGCAAAAGTGTTCTATTTATTTTTTTCGGGTCAATGTATGACATTTTAAGTGTTAAAGTAGTATTATAATTATTTGTATACCTACTATTTTAAAATTGAAACATTTAATAAAAAATTCTAAAATATTTGTATCTATAAACATTTATTATGTTTTCGTAGTTATGAGTGCATAATTTAATTTAACTTATTAACTTTAGGAATCGACAATGATTTTTAAAGTATAGTTTCCGTATTCTCCAAGTTTAGAATTACCTAAAAAAAGATACTTTAGAATTTAAAAAAAAAAATGCACGCATTTAGGGTTAAATAAAGTATCACCGATCAGAAATTTCGCATCGCTCTAAGTACTTTTTCTGAGAAAAAAAAAAGATGTCGTATTAAACCTAATAGCTTCTACGTAACACACACAAAATTTAAAAATTACGCATCGTAGCACGGCCATCGCAAAACGGCCTAACAAAAATATGTTCATATTTTTATCAACATATACCTACTTGGGTAATTAAATTTTTTTTTTACATAAGTAAAAAAAAAATATATCCGTCCTCCATAAAACCGTTACTGCCGGTACCGTATCATAGTAAAATCAAACCGATCGGAATCTCAGAAACTTCCCCTTTGTCCGCCGAAAACACCAAATCTCACGGCGACATCAGACATTTCAGTTCGATTTTCTTACGTAGTGCCGATAGCAGATTCAGGGAGGAGAACATTGGCGGAAATTATTTGTGGGGGGGGAGGAGCTTGAAGGGTCTAATCCCGTTCAAAAAGTGTAAACAGAGAAATTAATCTTCTTCGAAGGCGGCACGCGGTTCCCTCTACCTAGCACACGGTTGATCTTTTTTCGACGCGTACATCCGTGCGCGCGTTTAGAAAACACATATAGAGGTAAACGCCGTTTACACGTCGTCGGCACATTGTTTTCATTACAATCATTTCTGCGAATGAAAATCCAAACACGGGCCGTAAAAAAAAAAAAAAAAACCATTATCGGGCGGTTCGAACGTCGCGTTTAAAGGACGCGCGTTTCGCGTCGGAAAACGCGCTGTTCTGTAGGTACTGCTGTGCGTATAAGTATGCCGGAGCACGGACTCGGGGCCGCGAGGTCGTCCGCCGGCAACGGCTCGGGTACCGCGTACGAAAAATTACGAGCGCGTCGGCGGCGGCGGCGACCGGCACACATTCGATGCGTAATGTGCGCTTCACGGTTATCGGATGGCTCACACGTACGTAATTATGGTGGCGTTTTAAATACGCGTGAAACGCGTTGTCGCACACGGCATATCCGCCCGGCCGCGTGTGACGTCGCGCGATGCGTCTGCGCGCGGTGCGGACACACAGCGCACCCCCCACGCGCACGCCGACGCATCCGCCGCGCGATAATTAAATTAAACAGTGTAATATTATTATGACGGTGTGTATCGTAAATCTGGGGCGGCGGTGACGGGCGACGGGCGGCGGACCGCGACGAGGAGGAGGAGGAGGAGGAGGAGACGAAAAACGACTCGGCTAAACGTCGAGAGACGAAACGCCCGCCGCCGTCGTCGCCGCCGCGCATAATAAATTCATTATTCCCCGGCACAACGCCGCCGCCGCCGCCGCCGCCGCCGCCTTTCGGGGAAACCGACGAACAATGCGCCGGGCGCGAGCGCGCCGACAGGTCTCAGACCGCGTGTAAAATCGTTTGCGGCCGATGAGCGACCGTGAACGGGGGTCCCGATCGTGAGAATCGCGGCCAGGTACGTGTGAAACGCGTGTCTGGTAACCGGCCGGTCCGTGTGTATGGGTGAGTATCTACATTACTGTCGCCACGGAGAAACGTTAAGAGTGCCTGTAATAATATATATACATATATATGAGGTTCTGACCGGACCGTAATATCCGTTGCCGTCCGTCGGCGATATCCATCCATCCGTTTTGTCGCGCTGTCGTTCTTGACGGCGACGAGTTGTGGACGACAGTGAAAAAAAAATAAAGAAAAATGCACGCTTCAAACGTTTAAAAACAAAAAAAAAGATACGGACATACTTCGCACGACGGGTGGGCCATTGTTGCGGGTGAGAAGTTGGGAACGTTAATGTATATCTGTACGCAGCGATTAACCACATCGTTGCTATAACGAAAAACGATTTGGAACGGAGTTCGATTAATAGTATTGCTTTATAATAATTACGAATTTCATCATAATTTGTTTTAAAAATTTGTATAAAAAAAAAAAATACTACGTTAAAATCAATTTTTTTTTTTCCGTTTGATCCTACAATTTTAACCACAGAGTATCTGCCGAACGTAAAAAAATGTCTATAAATATCTCAAAATTGGTTACAATGTTTTACTATAAGTTTACTGTTCAAAATTCAATTCTCTACAAATATTATGTTTGACTAAATCAAAACAGAACAAAACAAAAAAAAATGAAAACAACACAATTCATAAATTTCCCCGTTTTTTCCCCGATTTTTCCCATTTTTTGTGAAAACAACTGGGAAAATCAAAAAATGGCTTTCTTAAAATACCACCCCAGTCAAATTTCCTTTCAGAAAAAGTGCCATAATTGAAAATCGGAGCAAAATTTCTGGTAGAAAAGTTGTCCACAGAAAAAAAAAAAATACAAAATAAACAATAAATATCATTGTAAACCAATACATTCCTCTCTTCGCTCAAATTCTAAAACATTGACAGTACTACGCTCAACTAAATACGCTAAGTTCTACTAGTGTGATACAAATATAATTATCTATCTGGTTATATTATAATTATTAATTACATATATAGTATTGTATACTAACATATTACAGACAAAAGTTAAATTATAAATATAAAAGTAACCCTAAGTAAGTGGACAAAATGATTAGTACCTAATATTATTTTACAGCCTTACCTTGTGTGCACTAATTTTTAACATACTGTAGAAAAAGTTAATCTACTACAACGGCTACATCGCATTCTTGATCTGAGTCCACATATTATTTTCTTCTTATCAGACATTTTCGTTATCTCGGTATACGAACTGACCCAAATCTTTAATCAATTATTATTTCTAATCAAACATTATTATTATTATTAAAACGTATGACACTGTCCAAGGGGGGGGGAGGCAGATTTGGGGAAAAATCTCTACATTACACTAAACTTTATTTTTTTTTACTACTAAGTAAGACTTACAATAAACCTCCTGTTAAATTTTTAAGCATTGCTCTTTGGTTTAACAATTTAAGCCACAGTGTACCTACCGAATATATTTCTTGAAAAAAACTCGTAAAATTAAAATATCTATAAACCGCTCAAATATGGCTAAAACATTTTAAAAATGTTACCATCCAGATAAAATCTTTCCAGAAAATATGCTACACTTGAAAATCAGAGCAAAATTTCTAATAAAAAAATTATTCTTAGAAAAAACAAAATTAACATCATTGTATAAAAAATAAATTCTTCACTCCGCTCAGAATCTAAAATATACAAGTAATGTTCTATAGAATAAAACTCAACAAATAAAGTGTATATTTGTTACATGTTGTTTGTTTATTTCGTACATTGAATTTCCACTTAACTGCAGTCATCGGCATATAAATAGCCCAAATA